TTCTCTCTTTCCCTCCTCAGAAGACAGGGCAGGGCTATACACTCTTCAAGTCTTTTGTCAGTTACTCATATATATATATTTTTAGCTCCTGGAACAAAGCAGGTGCTCAATAATTATTTGTTGAATGAATGAATTAATGTAGGAATGGAATGAATTAATTAATGTAGGAATGAAATGAATGAGCATATCGGTTGTATTACCTGCTTTGCCACAATGTAGCATTGTGACATTAGGCAGTTAGCAAGCTACAGTTTTGTTGTTTGTAAAACGGCAATAATAAAAGTACCTACCTTTTTGGACAGTGTTGAAAACAATTAAAAAAATTATAGCAATTAGCACAGAGCTAGCACTCAATTAATGTTAGCTACTATTAGCTCTCTGCACTTTGGGGGCTAGCCATAAAATAAGGGCAATAATTTCTGCTCTGCTTCCCTCACAAAGGCACGTTTTGGCCGCGGCGCACCGGCTTGCAGGTCTTAGTTCCCTGACCAGGGATTGAAGCTGGGCCACGGCAGTGAAAGCGGCGAGTCCTAACCACTGGACCGCCAGGGAATTCCCCAAAGCTTATTAACATTAATGTTTTAATTGCTCTGAACTTCACTACATAATGCAGCGGCTCTCGCCATCCTCCAGCAGGATTATTTAAATGAAAACGAGTCTTTAAAGAGGCCCAGCACTCCCGATTGTCAGCCCAGCCCAGTCCAACCAGGGTTACAGGAAACCACGCCCCGTTGTGAAGTCAATTAGCTGCAGAGTTCAGTTTAAAAATACCCAGCCCCGCCCCTCCTTGCTAGGCGAGCTCAAGTCGCAACTGCACGCTGATTTGCCCTTGCTGGCCAATCACCGCTGCTCTGCCTCCTGGGCTGTAATTTTCAAAATTCGCTACTGGGGTGATTGGAGAGAGCACGGGGTAAGTTGAGACGGACGCCAGTTGCTGGGACGCGGAGCTCCGGTCATTTCCCGGGCCTCTCCTGGGCTAGGACTGAGTCCGTGGTCTTTCCTCTTCTGCCCTCAATCTCGATATGAGGTAGGCGCCTTTGAACTTGTACTGCCCGCTTGAATGTTCGGTTGTGTCGCACGCGGGTGGGTCCTTGAGCCTCACTCCAGTCACTTGTAACTCACTGTCTTCTTTTGCCGGGACGCATGGGATCCCTGACACGAAACCTTTGCTTTTTCCTGTCAGCCAGCAGTCTGCGGAGAGAGCCCTGTACGAGGTTGGGCAGGGAGTGTGTATTAGTGGGTGAGATGGCAAAGCAAAAAAACAAACAAACCTAAAAAACCAAACAAAAACAAAAACAAAAACAAAAACTGGGTCCCAGCTTTTAAATGGAGCTACCAGTACACATGCCTGAATCAGAGTACATTTACATAACGTCTTTTCACAAGCGAAACTGTGCAGGATCAATTTCATCCACAAGACGTATTTAAGCTAGAGAATGCTACTTGAGGGATGCCTTTTGAACTACAGGTTGAAGGATATGAAGGAAGATGGAAACATGTGTCCTTCCTCCCTTGTTGTCTCCACTGGCTCTCTTCTATCACCACCTCCAACCCCTCCAACTCTGGCTTTCCACTGCTCTCTGCTATGGTCCTCTTGGGATCTTAGAATGTCAGAAGTTGAAGGGATCCTAGAACAGTGCTTCTTAAACTTAAAGGCGCATACAGATCACCTGGGGTTATTAACTTGCACTTCCTGATTTGGTAAGGCCTACCTCGGGGACTGAGATTTTAAATTGCTGACAAGCTCCCAGGTGATGCTAATATTGCTGGTCCATTGACCATGGTTTAAATGTTGAGGAGACTCTGGTCCCACTATCTCATTTTATTAGGTGGGGGAAGGAGGCCTGGAGAGGGAAAAGGGACCTGTCCAGTGTCACTCAGCCAGCTAGGGCAGGACTAGAACTAGACCCTAGGCATCCTTCCCAGCTCAGTGCTGCTTTCATTGACCACCATGCTGCTTTCTCTCCCCAGTGTCTTGCTGTCTGTAACCTGCCTTTATATATAAGAAGAAGTTGCTACTGTTTCCTGAGATTGTCTTGATCTACAGTTTTGGACTCTGAGCAGTTGGGCTTCTGAAAAGGCCAACTTGCCCCTGTGTGGGTTTCAGCACCAGCCCTGGGTTGCCCAATGGAGTCTTCAACACTCATCAGTGTGTATGTAGGGGAGATGGAAAGTCTGGAAAGCAGAAAGGATTTTAATTTTTTTGTCCAAGTAAGGCTAAGGGTTCTGTAGGTGGTACAAGTTGAGAGTGTTCTACAGAGTGTCCTTTTATGAAAGCATGTTTTTGGTGGTGTCATTCCCCTCCCCCCACCTAGTGACAGGGAAATTAGTTACTTCAGTGTCTGTGTCCCCCAAAGCAAGTGATTATTGCTCAGGATAATGAAGGTGATACATGACCATCATCTGAGAAACCTTATTTTCTCTGAGGTTTAGTCAGCCTGTGATGTCATCAGCTGAAAGTTTTCTGGCCTGTTGACTCCAGTTTGATATTTTCTTTCCGCTTGAAAGATAAAGATTTCAGAACATGAGTCTTTGGTCATCCATAAAAAATTGTATGAGGTGTGAATAATAATAATGGAGTGAGTGGTTTTCATACAGTGCAGTTAAGGGTGGGTTCACTCAATTTAGCTTTATTGCTGCTTGGCTGAGTTTTGAAGGATGAGATGGAAAATAGGTTTGGATTTGGAGGAAGAGAAGGAGAATAAGATGCACCATTTATTCTGAGTACCAGGTTAAGCTTTGCACATACAAATTTACGTTTGAGCCACACAATACCTCTGCAAGTAAGAGGTGGTATAGCTCTCTTGCGAATGAGGAAACTGAGGCTCTAAGATGCTAAGTTGGCTGATTTAGGAGCCCAATTGCTTCTTAAAAAAAAGTCTGCTCATTCTAACTCCTCATTACTCCTCATACTACCACACTATGGCCTTTCACTTTGGACTGTAGGCTATATTGGAATCTTTTTTGCGTACGATCAGAGAGACTTCATGGTATTTTAGAAAAGAGCCCTGGAAAGAGCTGGGTGTTCCATGCTGCTTAATAATTTGTCCTGTGTAGTAAGTCACTTAACTCATCTGGGACTGTAAAATGGAAAGAATTGTACTTGCCCTGCTTACCCTCACAGTTTTGTTGGGAGGATTAACTGACATAGTAAATGTGAAGGCACATACTTGTACTAACTTTTCCTTGCCAACAGAATGTTTAATATTCTCCATCCAAAGCAAAGCCCAAGTTAGCCTTTCTTCTTTCTTAAACCTTCCCCTCAAACTGCAGTCTTCTCTGCAGTCTTACCAGCGTGGCCCCAGCCTAGCTTGCAGCCTCGTTCTAACTCCTCCCCAGCACATTCTTTATACTCCACACTCCAGGATGTTCCCAAACTTGCTGTGCTCTGCATGTTCAACCCTCCGCCTAGGCTCAGGCTTTCTTTGCCTGGAAAGCTCCCCTGTCTACTTGGGAACCTTCTTGTCGTTTAAGTTCAGATGGAATCTCCCACAAGATTACTGACTTTCCATTGTGTTTCTAAAGTACTTTTTATCTACCGTTTTAAAATCATTTGTCATATTTTTATGTTACTGTTAGAGCTGTGCCTGTGAATACTCCTAGGGTAAGATACATGATTTATTTGTGTTTGTATCTCCATTGCCTGAAGTATCTGCCTTTAGGGTCTCTCTTATGGAAGCCTGTTCTTTGTCAAATGCAGTTGAACTTGGACACTGAATATCGGTGGGGTTGGAAGGGCAGTTGTATTTGAGTGGGAAGGGTCTCTTGGATATCCAAGAACTGATTCCTCCTAATTATGTATTTGCTTGTAAGATACATAAGTATATCATAACTATTGGGAACTCACAAACTAAAAGAAATTTAAGGAATGTAGAATGGGATCCCACACTGAGATAGGATGAAGGTAGGACTCTCCCAAGGTCTGTAATGACTGTTAAATTTTTATGTCAAGTGATTTTCAACAAGTTAGTTCCTTCTTCTGTTATCTTTTTATTTTATTTTTTTCTTACTCGGTGTCTGGCACTGGATTACAGTTTCTTGATTGAATGCAGCCTTTGAATACCCTCTGGCCTATTGTGCATACGTGTGTGTGTGTGTGTGTGTGTGCGCACGCGCGCACAGTGTATTCTTTTGCCTTCTCTGTAGCATCATTATAATTGCTGTGGCCAGGACCCCATACCTTTTAAAGAACATTAACCCTACCAGCGAGCCTCCATACTATATGATCTGTCATGTTCTTGATTATTTTCAATGCAAAACTGTTAATTTGTCCCCAGTGTTCCTAGGCTAAACTAGGGGCTAGGCCACAGTCCCAGTGCCCACAGGGGGTGGCAGGCACTGTACTGAGCTTTTTACATAGAGTATCTCATTTAATTTGAACAGTGCCCTGCAGAGGTACGTATACTTATCTCCATTTTACAGATGAGATAACTGGAGCCTAGGGAGTTTAAGTCACTTGCCCATGGTTAAGTGTGGTAGAACCAAGATTTGAGCCCAGATCTGCTTAAATCGAAGTATGTTTTCTCCTAGGGATGCTACAGAGAGACTGGGTTTTCTCAAGGATCTCCAGAGAATTCTGATATTTCTGGTGAATGGTGTTTTAAAGAGTCCTTTTCTGATTGCAGCCCTGCCTTGGATAGATGCTGCTGAATCCATAAGAAATGCCACTGCCACTACCACCCCAACGCTCCAGACGTGAGACTAAGAAATCTCAGTCCAGCAAAATTGTGCCCAGTGATCATGGCCCATCTGAAAAGGTTAGAGCAAGCTTTCCCTCCCAACAGTGTTTCATATAAGCTCTTCCTGTGTTGGTTCAGTCCCTATGTTCATCCCTACATCTTTTGAAGTATGTGTGGTTTAATCTGAGAAAGTGGGAAAGGGTGGCAGACCTTGTAGTTGGAGAAGACCATCAAATTAGGACTTAGGGGGAAAGTGTCAACTCTTCTTTCCCGTAAATGCATGGCTAAGATGAAGGCCGTCCTCCATAACCTTCAAAAGCAAACAGTACTCAGTTCTCATTAGTGATCACATCTATACTCTTACTTTCTCTGAGATGCTCAAAGCACCTTGCCAGGTGGCTGCTTGGTACATCCTGGGGAGAGTATGAAGACTAGGTCAACAAATGTATTATAATGCTTTTTACAGCTATTAAATTTGAAGAATGGGCCCATTTTGAGCCTGCTGAGTTTTTTTTTTTTTTTTTTTTTTTTTTTTTTTTTTTTTTTT